GACACGTACCTCCGCTCTTTCCTATCCTGAGCTAAACTTCAATTTTCCCTACAATTAGTACAACCCACATCCTTAACTATTTGCGAACAGTAATCTAATCTAAGTCTACCCCTACCCCTCCTAACTCCTGTTGCTGCCTCTAATATGTCTCTGACTAGATCTTAGTGTTTGAGAAGGTGTTCTACCAACCTATATCGCCTATTTCTTATTGACTTCCATAGAGTCCTCTGTTCTCCTATTCTTTCAAGTACCTCTTCATTTTTAACCTTCTCAATCCACGGGATCCTCATCATTCGTCTGTAACACCACATTTCGAACGCTACTAATATTTCCTTTTCCTCAGGGCCCACCGTCCATGTTTCGCATCCGTACAGCATCGCCCTCCAAACAATCCTTTTCGAATTTCTAAATTAACCGTTCGCGAGCATGGAAATGACTTCTTTTTATTGAAAGCGACTCGACCCTGCGCTATCATCTACTTTTATCCCTACTTTTGTTTCCGTCCTGACTCATTTGACTTCCTTTATAATTAAAAACAGTCGCTTCTTCTAGTTTGTCGTCTCCTATCTTTATATTCGCTCTTTCCCTACTTTTTCTTCTCTTGCAAACCACTATTTTTGTTTTACTTTTTTTTTGTTTTCTTACGGTACTGTTTTGTTAATCCCGATTCCGTTTTATTTAAAACTATATCTAATTCCTTCTTGCTAGATGCTAATACTGCTATATCATCTGCAAATCTAAGCATACTAATCGTTTTCCCCTGTATATCTACCCCTACAGTTCCTTGTCTGACTCCCTTCCTAATATTTACTTCTCAACGTTGCAGCCCCAGCTCCATAACTGCTTGTTGCTCTTTATACAAACTATGTATCACTCTTCTATCTCTATAATTTATTCCTACATTTTTAAGTATATTTAACATCTTGTCCTTTTTAACATTGTCAAGACCTTTGTTAGGATTTTGGATCCTAAGCTACTTAACTTAACTTAAAATAAGGTACTGTTCGCACTTTTATATGTTGTATTTTTCAATTACAAAAATGTTCTAAATCTTATAAATTTTTCTGTTTGTTACTTTATTTCTTTTTTCTCTCCTCCTTTCTGTCTAGATACTATCTTATATTTCTAAATTCCCACCACTTTCTGGGGGTTGACCAAACGTGTTCTTGTAGAGGGGTTTGTGCAGTTTTTTGAACTTAACTTTTGAAAATAATAATAATAATAAAAAACTTGAGGCAAGGGCACTGTCGGCCTGTAACAAAGACACGTTCGGTTGTAATAAAACTAATACAAATAGATTTTGGAAATAGAATAAATAAAAGAAGTTTTGAAGTAAAAAGTATAAAAGAGGTTTATAAGGGGTGTTGTAATTTTGGGATAGGTTGCCGGTTCAGGGTAAATTACATGCAGAAATGCCGAAGCGAGAGAAGTTTTATAGAATGTTATTGTTAATTGAAGAAAATGTAGGCGGTGGTTGTTAAAATTGTAAGGAAGGAATATTTTTTAAAGGATGTTGTAAAAGTGAGATTTTTAAAGAGTAATAGAAGAGAACGATTGTCAGCATTTCGTAGAAGTAGAAAGAAAAGATATGTTTATAATATTAGATGGGTTTATAACACCTTTTTCTAAATTTACAAATCCTATGTAGGCACTCTCTTCTTTTTCTCCTAATAGTTTTTTCCCTCCTTTTGTTCGTCCTCTGCACAATTCTAGTTAAGATTTTGGACGCATGGGAAGTTAAGCTAATTGTTCTAAATGTCCAATAATCATATACATGTTTAAACAAATTCAGCTGTACCAACTAATATATATTAAATGCACATAGTGAGGACATTTAAAGATGAGAACACTTCCCCGAATAGTATATCCCTATATGTTCAATATCAACAACTGGAGTTAATATTGTGCAAGCAACAAGTTAGTATTTTGAGTGCTTTGGCGTTTCCTAGAAATAACGCCAGGCGGAGCAGCATATATGCTTTGTCTGTATTCGATCGTATCGGTCCGGGAGGAGGAAGGGATGGCGGCGTACAGTGGAACCAATTTGTAAAATGTATAATTTCGATCGATGTACTCAAAATTTGTACGAAACAATTGCATGTTGCAAACCTGTTGCGGAATTCGATTTACAAGCATAAACAGCTTTATGAGTAGGTGCATCAACGAAACAGAGAAATTTGTCTCTAAAAGTTTTGTAGATTAAACATTTCCATGTTACTTGTTCTCTCTATCATCAAATTGTGGCAAAAATTGATTCTCTATAAATCTGACTGTCGCAATAGTAATATCGGAGTTTTCAACATGTAAAAGTTTTTAAAACAGTAATGACTGTTGCTTCCATATCTACTCCTATTTCTAGGGTTTTGAACCTCAAAAGGGAAAAAGAAGCCCTTACAGGATCACTGCGTTGACCGTCTGTCTGTCAAAACCGTTCTTCTTAGGCATCAAATTATAATTAATATCAAATACTCGGGTCTGCAATCCCTTGGAGCTATAAAAATATCAAACTTCTAAGAATCAAAATTTATAGGGTAGTTTCCGTTGACGCAGAATCATGAAATTTGATAATAAGCAATGTTTTATAGCACAGGTAAAGGGAAAAATCCGAAAATCGTAAATTTGTAGTTACCTACAACATAAAAAAATACTTTTCTATTGTGATATCGTAATTATACGTTATGAGGTTCAATTTTGGGGAGTAACTTGAAACATACTTGGAAAAAGCGGGAAAAATATTCGAAACTCGATTTCCAAACTATTTATATATGAAGTACGACACATTCGAACTTGGCCGGTTTTTGGCACTAGAATGTGGAATCAGAAACATTTTGACGGGAAATATTATTTGAATCAAAACCAATAAAATCTTTTTTGATTCCACATTCTGATAATGTTAATTATTAGTAATACTCGATATTGGGAAAGCTGTTGTGAAGCATAGGTAGTATTAATTTATTTATTTATTTCATAAGGGTAAAACCCCATTTTACAAATATAATAGCATCGAAATGTTAATGTTAATACTAGCTACTACAAAACTGGAATCTTGCTTCTGATACAGTCAGTAAATTTGTCAATGGTACAATTAAATAAATCAATATCTTCGAAATATTTCATTTCATACAATTTTTAAGAATATAGATTGCTACTTTTTTATTATATTATATAAAAGATTTACAAGAATTGAAATACATAAATGTTTATAGATATAAGTGCATAAGAGCATAAAATTTATATAATTTCTGAGATGATTGTAAGTTAACAATGATTATCATCAGTCGGTAGTAAGTGAGTGCACTGTATTGTACTGATAATACGTAGTTTCCATTTGTAAATGGTGTCATAAAATTTCCATAGTCTTGATAGTCTTATGATATGCCCATTTCAATCGATCTTAGGATTATCTTTCATACACACTCATCATCATCATAAGGTCGTCAGTCCTAAGACTGGTTGGACACGTACCTCCACTCTTTCCTATCCTGAGCTAAACTTCGATTTCCCCTAAAATTAGAACAACCCACATCCTTAACTATTTGCGAACAGTAATCTAGTCTAGGTCTACCCCTACCCCTCCTAACTCCTGTTGCTGCGTCTAATATGTCTCTGACTAGATCTTAGTGTCTGAGAAGGTGTTCTACCAACCTATCTCGCCTATTTCTTATTGACTTCTATAGAGTCCTCTGTTCTCCTATTCTTTCTAATGCCTCTTCATTTCTAACCTTTTCTACCCACGTTATCCTCATCATTCGCCTATAACACCACATTTCGAAGGCTTCTAACCTTTTCTTTTCCGCCGCGCCTACTGTCCATGTTTCGCACCCGTAAAACACCGCGCTCCAAACTATATCCCTACTACTTCTTCTGTCCTGACTTATCTGACTTCCTAGATATCTAAAATCAGCCACTTCTTCTAATTTTTGGTCTCTTATCTTTATATTCGCTCTTTCCCTATTTTTTCTTCTCTTGCATACCAATATTTCAGTTTTACTTTTATTTATTTTCATACAGTACTGTTTTGTCAGTACCGCTTCTATTTTATTTAAAGCCATCTCTAAGTCCTCCTTGCTAGATGCCAATACTGCTATATAACCTGCAAATCTAAGCATGCTAATAATAATTTCCATCCCAGAATAAACAAGAATTATACTTAAAAAAAGGTAAATGTATTTTATGCATTTTCTGTAAGTAAACCACCTGACTGAAAACAAAATAGCGATGTAAGCAATTTTTATAGTACGCTGAATTCAATTGATATTTGATTTTCTCTAAAATTATGCATTTTTCACAATTGTATTTCATATGGAGCATACGACATAATGTTGTGCACTAACATAAGAACATTACTTGAAAAAATAATAAAGTTGCTTCATTCCTTGTACTCCACACGGAATACAATTTAAGTGTTAGTAAAAAAGTACACAATTTTGAAGAAAATCATGCATCAGCCTAACTGAGTATGCTATATATAATTAGATAATTATGTTATATTTTTCCTTACAATTCTACTACTTAGTTATCAGACTAGTAGTGCAACAAAAAATTTAAGGTATAAGTTACATTACAATATAATTTTTCTTTGTTTTGGGGCTGAAATTGAGCCTTGTTAATACCCGTCCTTTACTACAACAAACATTAGGTACTGATCGGGCACGTGTTTCGCCTACATTTTACGTGGACATTGTCAGCGCGTGACTGACGTGGGGTCTTTCTCTTTTCATTTATTTATTTATTTGATTATCGCAGCCTCCTACTCTCCGTTTTGTTATAAATGTTAGACAAAAGGTAATAGGATTTTACAATTTCATCCCTTTTATTTTACGATAGATCTCTACTACTATAGTAAAAACATATCTAAATCTAGTGAAGAACTCTTAAAAAGTCATAATTTCTTCTAAACTTAGATTAGACTTACAATTAAATCGGAATTAAATTAAAAAGACGTATTAAAGTATTAACAAAATAGATACATTTTGCAATTTCGTCGTTCTGTGTTCCAGCTGGAACGGCTGCTCGGCAGCGGTGCATCCTGGCCACCTTGCTCGTACTACCCTTAACCGAGACCTGACATTGGCCTCCACCAATACAGGGCTAGGTCGCCGTGACGTCACGGGATGCGTGTAGCCGCGTTCCCGCCAACTTTGATCGCTCGACGCTCACTGATTCTTCGACCATGGGACTTGTGAGAAGTCCTCTACCTTCAATTGTTCCTCCCAGTGAAGAAGTTAACTTCTCTAGTGCGTCGAGTGATATTTCCTCCGGGGGCGGTGAGTAAAACTTTCAAATTGCTTTGCAACCACTTGATTAATTAAAATGCATTTTCGAGAAAAAAAGTTTCAACTTGTTGAAAGTTCTATTGAAAGCTCTTCTTATAATTAGTTTGCGTAAAGTTTCTTTCAATTACTTAGATGTTCATAAAAGTAACCAAATGAGGTTAATTAGTTAATAGTTTCTAAAATACAGGGTTACAATTGCAAAAATGATACAACAAAACTATTGTTGTTCTCCTTAAAATCAATTTCGGGAAATTTGAGCTCTAGTGATAGAGAAGTTATATGCACTTTGAACAATTTATTTCTGTATTTGAATAGTTTGAAATATGCGAATGAAATTGTTGTAATTATATTGGAATCGTCTACATAAATGGAACTTCAATAAAGTGCTAGTTAGGGAAAACTGCTGTATTTAATTTAGTTTTTCTTATAATTCTTAACTAGCTCGAGTCCGGCACAACTTCTATTGCAGTTACCCGAGACTCAATTAAGAACAAGAAGCTAACACCGGAAAGTTTTGTAACTCTCATTTATAATTTCAACTTTCTTAAAAGTACTTAAAATTAGATAAATGTGTATTTACGTAATTTAACCCTTTAAAAGACATAGCTTTTTAAAAACTTCATTGTAAATAACCAATTCCAAGATGAGGTATCCGATTAAGTAGATTGCAATTAAATTATTATTGTGCTAGATCAAATAAGCAAATTTTCTGACAGAAAGTATAAGTAACAGTTCATTTATAAATATTGATTTAGATCTCAAAAGAGAAAATCTTCTTCCGAAAACTCAGCCAGTATTCTACGTATTAACGTAACATGAACATGTAGTCAAAGATGTATTCAATGTTACCAACAGAAGTATACTTTTGAACAGTTTGAAATGTTTACTTCTAGAATAAGAAAAAACCGATTAGCAAATTTGATGAGGTATTTTTCTCCGTAAAGAGTAATGGTAGGATAATTTCTAGATGTGACCCTCTTGAAAAATTGTTTATAAAGCTAGCTCGAGCAGGAAAAATTAATTTAATAAATTAAAGTTGGAAAACGAGCGACTGGTAAAATATTATTTTCTTTTTTTCCAAAACTCAATTAAAATCAAAATGGAATAAGGAAGAGGGTGTTAGAAATGAAATTTTACTTTCGTTGTAACCATTGCTACATTACCTTGAGTTGTATGTCTAAAAAGCTTTTGATTGTTTTGCTGTCTATCTGCTTGTCCGTTTATTTGTCAATTTATGTATCTGACACTTTCAACCACTTCCCATTGTCGTAACACGTTGTGTGCTATATTACGCGTTCCGAAGAATTATACATATAATAAAACGAAAGAAATAATTTTTTCAAATCATCGTTCCTTGAAGTTTTATTTTTCAGTTGTATGAATTTAAAATTCTTTAATTACTTTTAAATACATTTCAAAAAGAAACAATTAATTCATAATCAGAATTTAGGTATAACGTCTAACTTCGCAGTTAATATTAGGTAACTCTAATCCAATTAATCAAAATACATACTTTCATTAGAAGAGAGGCGAAAGCATTTATTACTAAAACTAGTGACAGTATCAGACATCTTTGATTTCTATAAGGAGGAGGAGTGCCAGGTGTGCCGTATTATTTTTCCATTTCTATCAAAAAAAAAAGAAAACGACATCAAAGCTGTCCAGTTGTGTGACCTTTATTAATTTATTAATCTATTTTCTTTATTTGCTACTATTTCACAATTTCACACCTTATAATTACTCAACCGATCGTCATGAAATGTTGTACACATATTCTCAGCGGTACAGCAAAGGGTATATAGGGGACTTTTTATCCAGAAAAAAATACTGTTCTCGACGGATAGAACAAAATTAGTTCCAGTCGTCGTCGATGATCTCTGACACGTATTTAGGACATCAACGCGTGTGAAAATTAGTAATAAATAAATCAGTGTGTAAATGGATGATTATTATTGTTATCTGTCATACTGACATGTGGAGCAGACAATGTAGTATTAGAAGAAAGCTTAAGAAAAATTACTACAAAACGACAATGGATAAGTAGATAAATAATATTTTTTTGTATTTACACTCTTATAACGTCCAAAACAACGGCTCACTTTTTCATTTGACTTTTATAATGAGACATGCCATAGACTTTAATTATTTATTATTTGTTTTTCTCCTTTTTGAACATATAAACGAGAAACAATACCACTTACACTTATACCTTAATTAAGGTAATATGTATTAGTTAATAATTTTTGAATTTTGTAAAAAATATATGGCAACCTATCACAGATTGTAAAAATTTATAAACATAGGAATACCCTGAAAAATCGAATTACACATGCAATTATTTAAGTAAATAATTATTCGTTTACAAAGAGTAATAGGTAGGTAAACAAGGAAATTTTACGTTAGTAAATACTTTTGACTAAACGTCTCATCATCACTGTACCAAAGTAATAACATAAATTTAACATAATGGTGGATTTAGTAAAACAACCAAAATTAACTTTTAATATTTACATTGTAAATATACGAGATCTGTTCAAAAAGTTTCGCGAATTTTACCTCGGGTTACATATACTCGATTTTCGATGTTTTTGTGGTGATAAGTTGGTACTTATGTATACCGATAAGTTCGGTCATGTTGAATGTTTAGTTGGTTATTGACAGCTGCTTTGCTTACTCGTGTATTGGGTCGTCTTCGATTTTTGCCTACTCCAAAGAAATGGATCAAAGAATCTGTATCACATTTTGTGTGAAGTGCGCGGACGCATTCCGAATGTTGACTGTGGCATATGGTGAAGCTACCTTGTACCGAAGCAACGTTTACTGGGATCCGTCAAATGGGCATACGCCATCTGGTGGCAAAATTTGTAACTCGAATGAGGGAAAAATTTACATAGGAACTGTGCACGCAAATTGTAAAATTGTTTATTAAAATAATAAAACACGTTAAACAAGTAAAAAAAGTTTTGATGATGGAGTCGACGAAGTTTTCTTCTAAAGTTAAATCAAATAAAAAGTTAATATGTTCAGTGAAAAGCTGCAATAGCACTTCAGACATAGATCTTCACTCTTCACCTATATTAACTCCTTCCAAATAAAAACTAACCGTTTTATATATGTAAAAAATATATTCGGAAAATTAGAGAAAAAAGTAAAGTAATAGAAGCTTGGATGAAGGCAGTGGGTATCAAAGAAGTGAATTCCGGAATAAAAATTTGTTCACGTCATTTTAATGCACATGATTATATTTCAGCAAGTATTTACCATCAGCCATAACCTTAATATTTAAAACTAAAATCATACTAAAATTATAAAGTGAGAAATTATTTATTCCTGTGTAATTAACTTAACACATTTCTAATGATACGATATAAGTATTTTGAGGTTAAGAACCTACCTGCTGCAATACAACAAAGTTGGAATAATGTGTTTGCAACGTTCTCTTAAATCGGCTTTGCACGTGCAAGTCATTGATATGATGTTGTTTAAATCACCCAGGATCACCTCACCAATTATATAACGTAAATCACTTTTTAAATCCGAAGTTTGTAAAAAGTAGGCAGTAAACTTGAATGGAAACGGAATTTGAAGGCTAGCTTCCGGATTTGTTATTTCCGAATTTTATAATGCGATTGGCATTAAAAACACGCTCACCTTCAACGAAATTTCCTTTCCGAGGCTTTGTGTCAGCCCAATCACATATTGTGTCAATACTTATCATTTTATCGTAATTTAAAAACTTGGAAATTGCACGGTACACTATAGGAAGTACGATAAATTTTCCCTAATCGGCGCCATGTTTTTAGGCTAATCCCATTTGACAGATACCAATACAAAATGTTCTCGGAGGGCTGAGAAGATGTGAACGACGAAGAGCGAAAACAGCATCGCATTAACATTTCTAAGGAGCTGTTGGACTCTGTCCGCGACGACCCAAATTTGCTCCAGAAGGTTATAACTTATGACGAATCATGGATTTATGGTTATGACGTGGAAAATAAGGCTCAATAACCCAATGGAAGCTACAGCACGTGCCAAGACCGAAGAAAGCGCGTCCAGTTATGTCGAATGTGAAGGTTTTGTTTATCGTTTTCTTCGATTGCAGGTGCCTAGCGTATTGAGTTTTCGCCACAGGTAGAACGGTCAATATGAAATATTACCTGCAAGTTATGCGTAATTTGCGCAAAGCAATTCTCTAGAAACGCCCGGATTTGTGGAAGAACCAAAATTGACTTTTGCACCATGATAACGCCCCTGCTCACACATCGTTGCTTGTGCGTGAATTTCTGGTCAAAAACAACACACTAGTCATGCCGCAGCCACCGTATTCCACAGATCCCCCCCCCTGTGACTTTTTCTTGTTCCCGAAACTGAAGGGGCCCATGAAGGGACGACGCTACACTACGGTCAAGGAGATAAAGACGGGATCGAAGGAGCTGAACAAGATCACAAAAAAATGATTTTTTGAAGTGCTTCGAGAATTAGAAAGAACGTTGGCACTAGTGTATAATATCTGGTGGGGATTACTTTGAAGGGGACAAAATAGATATTCATTAATAAATAAATAAATCTTGAAAACACAAAATTCGCGATACTTGTTGAACAGACCTCGTATTTCTCTTAATATTTACCATAATAACAGCATCTAATAATGTGTTTGCAGTTCTATCTAAACACATAGACATAAGTACTAATTAGGCTATTAAATATGTTCGAACTCAAGAATTAGTAACGAACAATTTCATCCATGGAATTTTATTGTTAAATCTGTTAGTTCGGCACCTAAAAATGAGAAAATCACAAAGTGCTACTAAACATCAGAGTGCATTCTTGAGATCCAATCGAAAAAGCCTATTTCTTAGTTTTTTCGCGATAATTCAATAATTATGCACTTTAGGAGTATTTTACAATACTTCTTTTTGAAGAAATTAACTTTATCATCGGCATACCTTGTTGAAAAATTCTTTCCCTCTTTTTATTATCAAAAATAGTTA